TTTCAAATCAACAATAAAAAGACAAATTACCCCATTAAAAAATGGACAAGGGATCTGAGCAGACATATCTCCAAAAAACATAGATGACCAATAAGCACATGAAAAAGATGGTCAGGAAAATACAAATCAGAACCACAGTGAGCTACTACATCACACCCCCTCGGATGTCTGTAAACAAAAAGACAAATAGTAGCAAGTGTTGGTAAGGATGTTGAGAAATTACTGTCCTCATATGTTGCTGGTGGAAATCTAAAGTGGTGCAGGGCCTTGGAAAAGGGTTTGGCAGTTCTTTAAACTTTTTTTTTTCCCTTGAAACTGGGTCTTACTCTATAGCCCAGGCTAGAGTGCAGTGGTGCAATCACAGCTCACTGCAGCCTCTAACTCTCAGGCTCAAGCAGTCCTCTGCCTTACCCTTTGAGTAGCTGGGATTATAGGTAAGCACCACTAGCTGGGATTACAGGCATGCTCCACCATGCCTGGCTAATTATTTTATTTTTTTGTGGCGCCATGGTTTCACTTTGTTGCACAGGCTGGTCTTGAACTCCTGGGCTCAAGGGATCCTCCCGCCTCAACCTCCCATAGTGTTGGGATTACAGGCATGAGCCACCATGTGCGGCCTCTTCAAACTATTAATATAGTTACCATATGACCCAGCAATTTCACTCCAGATGTATACCCAAGGGAAATAAAAACATATGTTCACATAGACATTTGTATGCAAATGTTTATTGCAGCATTATTCCTGATAGCTAAAAGATGGAAACAACCAAATGTCTGTCAACAGACAAATGGGTAAACAACATGTGCTATATTCATACAATGAAATATTACAATTAAAACATATACAATATTACCCATAAAAAGAAATGAAGTACTGTACATCCTGCAATGTGGATGAACCTTGAAAACATTATACTAAGTGAAAGAAGACAGTAAAACACACACATACACAGACACACACAGTATTTTATCCCATTCATATGCAAATCCAGAATAGCAAAATCTATAGAAACATAAAGTAGGTTAGTGATTGATTGGGGCTGGGGATGGAGTGAGGAAGGTGGAGTGTTATTGTTAAAGATACAAGAATTCTTTTTGAGGTGATAAAATGTTCTAAAATTGACTATGGTGATGATTGCACAGATCTCTGAATATACGAAATTCATCAAACTGTATACTTTCAGTGATTGAATTCAAGTGGTGGTATGCTATGTAAATTATATATATGAAAGTTGTCAGATTCAACATGGAGTCACTTGTGTCAAATCCTGACAAAATAGAGCTGGGGGAGGGTCATGAAGGGAGAGCTGTCACACATGATTTGCCTGATAACAAGAACTATCACAAGAAATTTTTCTGAACTGCAGCTTACTACACAAGTCACACAGCGACAGCTAGCCACTTACACAAGAACATTTGCCTGACACACTGTCTCACAAGCCCAATCCAAACTGCAAGGGCCTAACCATAACACTAAAATTACAAGTCCTACCTTGCAATTTACTGACACTCACCAGTCAGAACTCACCAGCTCTTATATAAGATGCTGCCAGTGCCAATAAACTTTTTTTTGAAAACAACTTGTATAACTTCCTCTTTCCCCAGTAAACCCCAGCCTTTCTTTTGTTTTCCAAACATACCAGAGGCCACCCTGTTCTGTGTGTAGGTTCAAGATAGCAATCCTGCTTCTTGTATGTTATTTCCCATTAAAACCTTTTTACTTAGAATACATCTTTATATAATTTTTTTATGCTGACATATCTTTTTTCTTTAAATGACACATAATATTTATACATATGGAGTACAGAGTGATGCCATGATACATGTAATGTATAGCCATCAGATCTGGGTAAAAAGATAATGGGATAAGAAGAGACAGATTAAATTTTTCTGGGAATTTTTTATTTTAAAAAAAGGAATGAAGCTACCTCTTTCATTGAAATAATAAGAAAGTCACAGAGAATAGATGAAGTTGTAAGAGGGGAAAAAATGAGAGACGTGCCAAGTTGAGAAAGGTCATGGCCAGTGGTTTTGCTCTTAGGGTAAAACCAAGAAAAAAGTCACCTATAAAGATTGAAGAGTTGCAAAAGTAGAATTTTAGGTTATTACTTTGACCTTCAGGTTTCTCGATATTAAAGAGGTTTGTATAAATGTCCAGTAGAAATCATTTTTTTCTCTGCAGTACTTGGCCAGCTTAGCAGCAGATACAGAGAACATCTCAGTAATATTTTCTTAGAACTTTGAAAGGAAGGTGAATTGGAAAAATCAGGGTGCTAATGAGAGCACCTTGAAATGATGGCTATGGAAAAAGGATGATATAGACCTGGTGGACTGATGGAGGCTGGAAGCAGGAAGGGGTCACGTAGCATAAATTACAATAAGGTCAAATAACAAGTTTTTTAGAGTGAAATATACCACCCTTATAGATACACAAAGCTCGACATGACTCAGTCCATCTGTTTTCTCTGATGATATCTTGTACTACCCTCCTGTTACTTGATCTGCTCCTCTGGGCAACACACTCAGGTATGGTCTCTCCTCAGGGCCTTTGTACTTGCTGTTCCTTCCTCATAGAAAGCGATTTCCCTGAAAGTCTACACAATTTGCTACCTCTTTTCCTTCAGGGTCCCTCGGTAAGCCTTCCTTTGCCTCATCCTATCTAAAATTGGATGAAAAAGGAAAAAAGACTTAAACATTATTCTCTATCTTTCTTGCTTTTTTTTTCTCTTAGCACTTATCATATTCCATATTTAACTTATTTTAAATTTTTATTTTTGTGTATATCTCTCCTGTTACTATGTAAGCTTTAAGAGGACAGGGAATTTTTTTTTTTTTTTTTTTTTTTTGACAGAGTCTTGCTGTGTCGCCTAGGCTGGAGTGCAGTGGCATGGTCTTGGCTCACTGCACCCTTTCCTCCTGGGTTCAAGCAATTCTCCTGTCTCCGTCTCCTGAGTAGCTGGGATTACAGGCACGTGCCACCATGCCACCAGGTCCGGCCGGGAATTTTTTTTTAAACCAAGTTCTCTACTATAGTTCTGCACCTAGGAAATACTTGGCAAATACTGTAGTGACTTAATATTTGTGGAAGGGAAAGTAGAGATAGAAGGTGGGGCATGTAGAAAGTTTCCTTTAAGCTTGAAGATCTTAGAAGTGGAGCAGTTCAAAGTGATGACTCAAATTTGGAAGCCCCCTAGTAAAGCCAAAATAAAGGTTATTATAAATGTAGACTTTTAATATAGGACATGTTTTAGAAAAGATGTTTGACATTGTAGTCACCAAAGATCTTTAATGGTAGATTTGGAGAATGGGAAAGTGTTCTTATAATTCAGTGCCAAAATTTCTGCAGAAGTGGTAAGAGGCTTCTGAGGTCAGTAGATGACATGAGTACAAATAGTGACATTTAAATAGATGGCTCAGACTTCAACAGAGGATTGCTTCAGACAGATTTAGATACTAAGTTATTTCATGCTCCCATCGTGGTCTTGGTATCTTCATCTATTAAAGAAATTATTATAATTAACATTTTACCTGCCAATTTCTTCACAACTCTAAAGCGCTCTTAATCTCTATCTTCCTAGCACTTTACAAAGTGCCTGGTGCATAGTATTCTCAGTAAATATGTGTTGAGTGAAATACTTATCGAATGAGAAAATACTAAGAGATAACTATGGAATTATGATGTTGGAGCCAAGAGCATTCTGATCTCTAGGTCTTATCAGTTCACCAGAAGGGTGAGAAAAAGAGAAAGCCAAGTTTCACATACATGAAGAAGCAGGTCAGATGTTTTAAAGGTTAACTTTTTAGATGAAGGGAAATTTGTTCTTTATAAAAGAAAAAAGACAATGCAAAAGCTGGTAGAAGGATTGTAAACAGGGATGATGTGAGAAGACACTGAATTAATTATAGGAATAAGGAAACATGAAAATAGTGGTTATAGACATTTGATAGTAATTGTTGAAAGAAAAGTGTAAGATCAAATAGTTTGACTACTAAATGAAAATCAGCATGATTTCAGGATACAGGAAGATAAAAGATACAGGAAGTGCAAGCAGGAAAGAAATATTTCTCAGGTTAAGTTTGATATTGTGAAGAATATTATAAAACAAAGAACTCTACTTGGGAATATTTACATGATTTTAGGACTTTCACAAATACTTTTTATTTTGTCTCACAAAATAACTCAAAAGTGGAACACAAAAATGGAAAACGTAAAACCTAAGTCTGTACACTTCCCTCTCAGACAGTGAGGTTTATTAGGGAGGCAGCTGTGGATGGAAAGGGCCAAGCTAATGGAGCAGGTCTCTGCAGGCTGGTCTCTCTTCCCTATGCTTTGATAACTCCGTAAGTAGGATTTGCAAGTAAAGGCATATCCCCCATTAGCATTAATAGGATTTTACTGTTACTCCTTTAGTTTAAGGAAACAGATAATACAGTAGGTTTGGTGCATATTATTGTGCATTGATAGTGGGGACTTATGTAGAAATTAAAATGTTAATATAGGCCAGACACAGTTGCTCACATCTGTAATCCCAGCACTTTGGGAGGCTGAAGCAGGTGGATCACTGGAGTCAGGAGTTTGAGACCATCCTGACAAACATGGCAAAACCCCGTCTCTACTAAAAATACATCCATTAGCCGGGCATGGTGGTGGACAGCTGTAATCCCAGCTACTTGGGAGGCTGAGGCAGGAGAATCGCTTGAACCCAGGAGGTGGAGATTGCAGTGAGCCAAGATTGCACCACTGCACTTCAGCCGGGGCAAGAGTGAGACTCCGTCTCAAAACAAACAAACAAACAAACAAAAAAGTTACTATAGTCCTGAATGTTTAATTGTGAAATATATTTGTAAATATGTACATTGTAAAACAAATTATTTTCTTTTTCTTAATATAGAGTTACGTTTTTATGGGAGGTTTTTTAAAAAGATATTTACAGCCTGATACAATAGCATTTAGTTCTGTGCAGTTTTAAGTTAGTTTTTAAAAAATTTTGTTTCCACAGTCCAGAAAAGGCTTTGAAAGACTCACTACAACCCTATGAGGCTGCTTATCTATCAAAATCCTTATCTCGACTCTTCGATCCTATCAACTTGGTTTTTCCCCCTGGTGGTCGTAATCCTCCTTCCTCTGATGAACTTGATGGTATTATTAAAACTATAGCAAGGTACGTATTTTTTATATAGCGGCATGCCATATAAGATGACTGCCATATTTGTTAGTGATATATGATAGCAGTACATTTTTAATTTATTTTCAAATTATTCAAGTAATTAGGCCCACAATTAAGAATTTTACAGTAAATGAGTGTACGCATAGTAAGTACTTGAGATTCCAATTAATAAAATAATTTAAATACCTTAGTCTAAAAATAGTCTATTATAATTATTCTGTATCTTGCCAAGGATGCAAAGTAAACCTAGCTGTTTATACCATAGTAAATTTCTTACATTATACAAGAAATCAAATACAATAAATGATTTTATAAATTGAGAAACTAAAACATACAGGTTAATTTTTTTTATCCTAAACTCCAGAAAGTGCTTCATGGCAGAAATAAGAATATAAGTTTGATTAGCTTGCGTTTGCTATTTTAAGCTTTTTAAGTGAATGTGACAGCTTTTAGGACTCTAAAAAGGGAGGATATCGTAGCAGAGGTGCCACCTGAATGCCTGCAGACAATGTAATTATATACTGTTGGCTTTAGACACTTATTTAAAAGTTGTCCAGACTAATTTGCAGTTGAAATTATCTGTTTCTGTCATGACTAACAAGTTGTCATAATAATAGATCTGTACGTTTGAGATGGATATTTTAAGGAATAAAAAATAGTATGAGACCGAGGTCTAAATTCTTTTAAAGATTTGAAGATGGTGATTCTGAGGTATGGAAGAGTAAGACTAAAAAGCCACAGGTGGCCAGGCATGATGGCTCACGCCTGTAATCCCAGCACTTTGGGAGGTGGAGGTGGGTGGATCACCTGAGATCAGGAGTTCGAGACTATCCTGGTGAAACCCCATCTCTAGTAAAAATTCAAAAATTAGCTGGGCCTGGTGGCGCATGCCTGTAACCCCAGCTACTCAGGAGACTGAGGTATCAGAATCGCTTGAATCCGAGAGGCGAAGGCCGCAGTGAGCCGAGATCATGCCACTGCACTCCAGTCTGGCTGACAAGAGTGAGTCTCAAAAAATAAAAATAAAAAGCCACATGTATAATAATATACATAAGCATATCTTTTGCTGCAGATGTACCTACAAATTATCTAGATTGCCCAGCATCTTGGTCTTAAATCTCTCCACAATTGCCTTGATTTTCCAAAGTTCTGACTAGGTCCTAGTAACTTGATCTCTTTGACCTGTTTATGTAAATATTTAAGAGGAATCTCTCCCATTCCTCTATGCAACTGGACAATGCTATAATCAAATATAATCTACAGCTGGAAGAATCTTGCTTATGGTATTGTTTAATAAAATTTAAAAGTGAACATTAACAAAATTATGTCTCAATACTATATGAAAGTGCATTTTTGTTATACATAGTATGCACTAGTATTGCTTCAAACTCTTTCAACTTCTTTAGAAAGAGAATCTGGTAAGATTTACTCTACTACTTCAGGGACAATAATTACTTTTCTTGCTTTCCATCTGTATATGGGTTTCTATATGATTTTTAATTTCTAGTATTCTTTCCATGGTCTTTATAAAATACCTTTTTTTTTTTTGGCAGTCAGATCAAATGCCCCAGTTAATCCAATGTTAAAGTTGAAAAGAAGCATGACAAAAAAATACTTTAAGAATCCGAATTTTAAAAATTTGTAATTATAGACCTGCTATGCTTTTATATTATTTAAAAAGCTACTCTATTCAACCTAGCATGAATTGGCATAATTTCTAGAGAAACTGAGTATATATCATGTGTAATTTATATTTTTAGCCTGTGTCCGTTCCAGGTCATCATTTCCATTCAAGAGCTGTCATTTCCTTGCAGATGTCTGTGATATGCAATGCCTCTAATTGCACTTTGTCAGTCTTACCAAGAGTGCGACTCTAAAAATCTGTACACGATTTACCCCTTTAATGACAGACTGAACCCACATATGACATGCTTTTATTAATGAGAAACTGGTCATTAAGGAAGCTGTCTCCAGGCACATTTTCCTAATGCTGAATTTAGGTGGTAAAATGAAACAATGCAACCAGTTCTTGGAAGCAGTGAAATCTATAAAAAGAATAACCATATTGCTTATTGGGTTTGAGTTTTTATCTTGCTCTTTACTTTGTTGATGAACGATGGTGCTAATATTTAAAAACTGTTTTTATTTTCTCCAGTGAACTAAATGTTGCTGCTGTTGATACAAACCTTACATTAGCTGTGTCAAAAAATGTGGCAAAGACCATCCAGTTATACAGTGTAAAGTCAGAGCAGCTTGTAAGTGATATCCTTTATCTGTAAACTTTAATGATTTTGTTTAAAATTATTAACTATATAATACTTGACTAATCATAAATATTGAATTGACTATTCATTTACTTCCATTTTTACTGTAGTGAAAGTTTATAACTTCCCGATGAATTTAAACTAGAAAAAAAATTTCTGTTAACAAAAAAATGGCCCTCCTACACATTGTCAGTACACTTTCAGAAGACAGGCAAGTTTTATAAGGTTTCTTTTTTTAACGCATGTGCCAATTAATGGGCTAATTATGTATTTTTAAATATTTAAATATTTTAAATAATTTACATAAATTATAATTATATATGATCAATCAAATTTTCCCTTTTGTGTGACCACTAATTCCATATATCATTCATGCATGGTCACCTAGTGTGAAATTGACTTGAACTGTTAGAAAACTGTTGTAGGAAGTAAAGTACGTAAAATTTTAGTAGAAAAATGTTTATTTACTTTTTAAAGATTCCAACCTCAGAGCCTGGGAGTTTAACCCTAAAATTATTATATTTGAAATAGCTATAGGCATGCATTTAAAATAATAAGTACATAACTGAATCATAATCTTAATTCTATACATTAATGTTTTAAAGTTAAGCATACATATTTCACCAGTATGTATGTATGCTAATTGAAATTCAAACAAAATAAGACTTCAATATTTTTTTATTGTTATTGATAGACTAATTTTAGACAGTGTATCAAAATCTGATTGTCTCCACTATCTTTAGAGTGTTAGCCAACTACATTTTCAGTTTATCCTCTCTAACTGTTCCCAATTGAAATATCATAATAAACAAAATAATCTACTTTTACCTATATCCAAGTTGTTTCAGTTTGTTCTGTGATAATTTTTAGGGTAAGTTGATGACATACTGAAGGACTTACATAAAATGATCCTTGGAGGTAACAGTCATGTTACGAGGCTTCCTACTTTTAGTTCCCATGGATGGCCAGATTTTGTTTGCAAATATGGTACAACTATTTTCCATTCAGTTGATCTTGTAGTCTTGACAAAATCATCTTACAAGCATCTTTTTAAGAACTTTATTGAAAACTAACCATACAGAGATATGGAGGCTCTTGGTAGGAAATTACTATGAATTTAGATTAGTAATTTTTCTCTCAATCTGTGTTTAAAGATGCTTTATTATAATGTTCATTGCTTCAAAAGCATGGTTATTGCTATAAATAAAATTCAGTATTATATCTACTGGAGTTTAGTGTAATTACTGACAATGCCAAGACCTGAAGTTAACACCATAAGAAAGACCCAGCATATATATAGAAAGTACCTTGCATTGAGAGTACGGAGGGACAGTGGTAATGGTAATATGTACTTCAGTTAACATAGTAATGGCTTAGATGAAATAAAAATATATCTACAAATGTTTGACTGAGTTGATACTGTTGATCAAATTGTTGGTGGCTGTAAATTACTTAAGCCTACCTAACGTACCTGCAGTGTTGAAGGCTAACAGAAAATCATTGACATTTTTTGGTTTTTAATTGGATTATTTCTTTTTTTATTAAAGATACTTTTATTTTTCAACTTTCATTTTAGTGTATAAGGGAAACTTAAGCATTAAATAAGATTATAAAAAGCATATGCCCTATTTTTTAAAATACATTATTGACTAATGTCTTAAGTAACAACTTGCTGTGATTGTTCATTTCTTGGCATTTAATAACACTCTTCTACTCCTCTATGTTTTAAAATTATACCTGTTCTTTAATCTTTACAAATATTCCTATTCTTTTAGAATAATTTGACTGAAAACATTTAGAGGAAAATAGCCAAATAGTCTTTAGTGGAAGAAAGACTTGAAACAGATTTTTGAATTGGATAACTACTCTGCCTATAAATGGAAATGTTGACTTGAGATTTGGTACAAAAACTAAATCAATGAGTGGGAGATTCTTTTCAAAGATGAAAAATTTAAGCTTCCAATCTACAAGATTAAGAAGTGACAGAATCTGTTGTTTCCTGACTTTCTAATGATCGCCATTCTGACTGGCATGAGATTGTGGTTTTGATTTGCATTTCTCTAATGACCAGTGATGATGAGCTTTTTTTCATATGTTCGTTGGCTGCATATATGTCTTCTTTTGACAAGTGTCTCTTCAGATCCTTCACCGACTTTTTGATGGGGTTGTTTGTTTGTTTGTTTTGTAAATTTGAGTTCTTTGTAGATTCTGGCTATTAGCCCTTTGTCAGATGGATAGATTGCAAAAATTTTGTCCCATTCTGTTACCTGTTCACTCTGATAATAGTTTCTTTTGCTGTGCAGAAGCTCTTTAGTTTAATTAGATCCGATTTGTCAATTTTCGCGTTTGTTGCCATTGCTTTTGGTGTTTTAGTCATGAAGTCTTTGCCCATGTCTATGTCCTGAATGGTATTGCCTAGGTTTTCTAGAGTTTTTATGGTTTTAGGTCTTATGTTTAAGTCTTTAATCCATCTTGAGTTAATTTTTGTATTGGGGTAAGGAAGGGGTCTAGTTTCACATTTATTAAATAGGGAATCCTTTCCCCATTGCTTGTTTTTGTCAGGTTTGTGTAAGATCAGATGGTTGTAGATGTGTGACGTTATTTCTGCAGCCATTAAAAAGGATGAGTTCATGTCCTTTGCAGGGACATGGATGAAGCTGGAAACCGTCATTCTCAGCAAACTAACACAGGAACAGAAAACCAAACACTGCATATTCTCACCCATAAGTGGGAGTTGACCAATGAGAACACATGGACACAGAGAGGGGAACATCACACACCAGGGCCTGTCAGTGGGTGGGAGGCTAGAGGAGGGATAGCATTAGGAGAAATACCTAATGTAGATGACAGGTTGATGGGTGCAGCAAACCACCATGGCACGTGTATACATGTGTAACAAACCTGCACGTTCTGCACATGTATCTCAGAACTTAAAGTATAATTTTAAAAAAAAGGAAAGAAAACAAAAGAAAACAAAAGAAAAGAAGGAAGAGAGGGAGGAAGGGAGGGAATGAGGGAGGGAGGGAAATCAGATAATTAATGGAATGTTCAAGCAGTGAGATAAAGGAAAGCTAGAATTTTAAGCATGCTTTCAGAAAGAGTGACTTGAAAATACAGCCTGAAATGTACATTGAGCAGCTTTTCAGAATCTGAAATTTATTTCCCTAAAGATTAGTTATAGAAGTTTCTTGGCTACTGAAACATGTTAGTATACTTAATTATAGCTTTAATTTGTATCAGGAGAAAGACTTATAAAAGGTTTTTTCAAGCTGATTTTTAATATTCTGGGATATAGTAGATTACAACATTAAATTATATGTAGAGTGCATTATATACTTAATACATCTGAAATTATTTTTATGATTACCTATTTTTTTCCCTAAGGCTTTTCTCTTACTAATCACCAAAGGTATGTGTTATACAAACCTATATCTCTGTAAGGAGAAGTCCTTCGGTCCTTCTGAATCCAAAGCGGTACCAGAGAATTTATTTTTAAAGTGAGGTTGGGCCACAAAAATAACTACCGTCATTAACCTTTATAGTGAATCAGGGAATTGTGCCAAGCCATTTATATATATTATTTCATTTATTTCACAACAGTCCCATTAGATGGAAGTATTACTGTCCACCACTACAAAATGTAGAAATTGAAGCTGAGAACAGTTAATAGCATGAGTAATATCGACTACTAAAATTAGAATGCCTGGAAGCAGGTGTTGGCACTAGCATTCAAATCCAGACCAGACTGTAAAACAAGCTTGTTCAACTCGCCTTATTTTTTACTGTTGTTGTTCTCTTGTGTTTTGTTAGGCTTTTAGCAGCCTGAAGCCATGATTTTTAGTTTCTGTCTCTAGTGCTAAGCGGAAAAGTATGAGTAAGGGACTTTACTGGCCCAACCAGAAACAGAAAATAAGAACCCATGACTGTATTCTCTCCCATGTTCACCTCTGCACCAACCTTTAATGTTTTCTTATTTCTGATCTGTAGCTTATATATAAACATAACATCTTTTTTATTTAAGAAAAGTTACATTGTGTTATACATATTGTTTTGTGAATTGTTCATTCATTTTACAGTATATCAAGATGTTAATATATGCGTAATATATTTTATTTATGTATAGAATAGTTTATTTCACTTCCGTGCTCTTAATGTATAGTTAGATGATTTCATAGTTGAATTTTGAAATAGTAGGGATTTAGCATTGAGGCTTCACATCTGAGTTCTAAGCAATAGGATTTAGTTCCTCCAATATGTATTTAACTTAGTATGGGTCATGTGAATATCAGCTTTCTAGATGCTCTTTTGTAAAAGTGAGATCAAAGTTTTTTAGATTTTCATTTAAAAATTCTTATTTGTCTTGACAGCAATTGTGAGTTTATAATTAACTAAGTAGAATTTTGTGTTTCAAATCCACATACCCTATAGGTGTAATATTACAATATTTTATGACTGAACTGAACAAATTATTTAATGGTGATATATTGGGGATTTGTTTGTATAGTCTGAAATGTGACCTTTAGAAGAAAAGGTCCCTAGACCTTACAGTGGAAAGTTTGGGGGTTTTTGTTTGTTTTTGAGATGGTCTCACTCTGTCACCCAGGCTGAAGTACAGTGGCATGATCATGGCTCATTGCAACCTCCACCTCTCAGGCTCAAAGTATCCTCCTGCTTCAGCCTCTGGGCACGCCAGCATGCCTAGCTAATTTTCTTAATTTTTGTAGAGATGGGGGTCTCGCCACATTGCTCAGGCTGGTCTCGAACTCCTGGGTTCAAATGATCCATAGCCTTGGCCTTCTGAAGTACTGGGGTTACAGGTGTGAGCCAATGTACCTAGCCACAATGGCAAGTTTTAATTGGTATTTTCCTTATCCTCTGTGTGTTAAAAGGAAACTAAAATATTAGTATATATTTTATTGGCACCTTTAAAATTTATATAGGCTTGTAAAGTTTTTTGATATCAATTTTGGAGGCAAATATATTAATAAGTA